CCTGTTGGAAAATTTTTGCCCCCCCCCCCCCCTCCCTTTTTTTTTTTTTTTTTTTTTTTTTTGTGGAGGGAGGGGAAGAGGTGATCTCTAGGATCAACTTCCGGTAGAAGTGCAGCTCTCCTTTGGCCATTGGAGGGTGTGCTGTCCCACGGATGTCTGGGCCTGGGCCTGGGGCAAGCAGAGAACATTCAGGCAACTCTTCCAGGGCCACTGCCCTCTGCAGTCCCACTCTGCCAGTGCCCACAGCTCACTGCTGCCCTGAACCAGTTCATCCAAACGGGGTGGGGAGGGATGGCGAGGAAAGGAAGGTGGGGAGGTGTTTACTTGGCTGAATCTCATGCCCTTTGTGCTGATCTTCCAGGGTGACTCCCTTGGCCTCCTTAGACCTTGAATTTTTTTTTTTTTAACCAATGGGAGAACAATGTATCCTGGGACGCTTGAGTCTTTCTGGAACTTCTAGAATTCAACACAGATGCAGAGCAAGGGGTTTTAAAGATATTTCTTACCCTCTGACTGGCTGAAGGGAGCAAGAAGAATACAGGATATCTTAGGTCCATGTTTCCACAAAGCCACTGAAAGCAGGAATTTCATGAGGGTTCCTTCTGTCACCTATTTTCCATTTCCCTCCTTTGTTCCCCAAACTTGCCCACGTGCAGCAGCCAGCTCCTGTCACCATCTCTCTTTCAGAGGACTCCTGATGGATTTGACTCGGTACCACTGAAGACATCCTCAGGAGGCCCAGACATGGACCTGTGAGGGGCGCTGCCCTGCCTCACCTGCCTCCTCACCTGGGCGCATCACCTTGCAAGCCTGTGGCAATGTGGGTGCCAGTTTCCTGCAACACCCACTGCTGGAAATCTCTTCGTTGTGGCCTTATCAGAAGAAGTTTGAATTTCAGATCTTTGTTTTTTTATAGAGTACCCAAACCCTCCTTTCTGCTTGCCTCAAACTTGCCAAATATACCCACACTTTGTTTATATATTACTCCCTCGCTTGCATCTTGTTTCCCAAAATGGACCAGCCATTGGAGCCATAGCTTCATCTGCTCATATTTCTTATAGCTCTGGAACAAAAGTATTTCTCTCTTTTTAAGTATAGAAACTCCCTCCCCTGTCCTCTTACTTAAGGGCACAAGCAGCTGGGAGTCTCCCTGATCATATGCCCTCAGCTCATGATCTCTTTAGGAGAGAGGCTGGGTGAGGAGGGTACTGGGCATCCCCTGATGAACCAACTACACGGTTGCCTGGATTCATCTCTCCTGGATAACCAACTCCAACTGGTATAGTGGATAGGCTGAGGGCCAGATGAGTAAGCCCTGGGTAAGAAAGGGCTTGATAAGCACAAAGAGGCAATAAAGGAAGGTTTTATTTTGTTTTTTAAACTGGGTCCTTCATTCCCTTTCCTTGAGTATGCTATAACTATTCTCACTGGAGCCAAAGGAAAATGTTCATTGAGAAAATGGGAAAAGCCCTGATGGATCTATTCTCCCCCCAACCCACTGCGGTTTTGTTTGTTTGTTTGTTTTTTTACCTCCCATCATCTCCCTATGACACTAAAGGGAACCAGGTAAGCCCCAATCCCAGATGTTCTAGCTTTATTCTCTATTTGCTTCTACCCAGAAATGACAAACATTGCCAGTGAGGAAAATTCCTCATCCTTGAGTGCCCCATTCCTAGAGGCTTGGGCCATATTAGGGAACAGGTGTGTCGTATTTTGAAAGAACACAAGGAAGTCAAGATTTTAATGGGGCCCTACTAGAGAGCCAGCCCACAATGGGATGGACCTGAGGTGGCCATGATGTCTGCTTCTAAACTTAATTCATCTGCTCAGCCACAGAATAAACAACCTCAAGGCTGGCCATGAAGGTAAGGCATGGACGTGTAGCCCATGCCCCAGCAGTAAGTAGATCCAGATCAGTCTTCAAGGAGGAAACACTAGGGGAGTTGGACAAGGTGTTCACCAAACCGGGAACCCTTGCACTTTCATGCCCCTGTCCTTCCCTTCTTCCTGTTCTCATTTCCCTTGTGTGCTGAAAAACTAAAAAGACTTCCGGCCCCACCTTCTGGCAGCATCTGTTTTGAAAGGTGAGTAAAGTGAATGTCCTCTGTGCCCCTTTTCTCCACTTTCACAACAAGTATAACTGATGAACTTTAAGTAACTAGAAATGGTAAAACCAGAGCAAGAGTTTAAATTCTCTTTTTCTTTCTACTAATGGCTATTCTCCTTCCCTCACTGTCAGGCTAGAATGACCATCCTTGTTCAAGGGCCCTGTTGCCCATGGTTTGTGCCTGTCTCCTTTCTCAAGTGACCATTTGGTGACCAGATGGTAGGTGAAGAATGGAGACGGCACTTGTAAGTGGTTTGTCTGCCACATGATGGTTTGCTGATGTGATTGGCCACTGCTGCCTTGGCAATGGTCTTATAAAATGGTCAGTGAGAATTGGAACCCTGCTGTAACTTCTGGCCAACAACCGCATCACTGAAGACAGGCAGTCCCTTTGGTTCAATAAATCTAGAAGCTTTTCTTTGGTATCTAAATTCTCCCTCCTCCTGTGGGACTCAGGCTCTCAGAACCTGTGGCCATGCTGGAATTTCTCCCAGTGGATGCAGATAGCCACTTCCAAGCTCCAGCCTGAAGTTTTCTGTAGCCTCAGCAATACCCCAGGCAACTGCCTTTCCACCGAATAAATTTCTTTTGTGACAAAGGCCATGGAAGAGTCTTAGACTATTCTAGAATCACTCAGAAAAAGTACATACCCCACTGACTTCTTTATTCTGACATCATGAATCTGAGTGCCCCTAGAGCAAACTCAAACTCTATTGACTTAGTCATAATATTTTAAGGATCTCCTTTCTACACCCCTTAGCGTACCGACTTCTGCAGATCTTCCCTGCATCCTGCCAGGAACTCCTGAGTTATGCTATCGGGGTCACCTGTTGCTCCCCTAGCAACTTAGACACATGTTAGATATTTTTTAATAGCTCTATTGAAGTGTAATTCAAATACCATACAAGTCACTCATTTAAAATGTACAATTCAATAAATTTTAGTATACTCACAGAATTGTACACCCATTACTACAATCAAATTTAGAATAGACACGTTATTTTATATGGGACAAGCTTTTAGCAAACAAAGGCTATAGCATTTTGCACAAGCTATTGGAGGAGGGAGTGTGGGCTCAGGAGACAAAATACTTAAATCCCATTTGGTTACTTAGAGTCAGAGAACACACATGTAACTCTCATCATGTAGGTGTTACCTGTATTTGGCTGGGAGTACAAATGAAGATTGTGGTGTATTCAAGGACAGGGATTTCTTATGCCAACAAAACTTTTTTATTTTTGGTCTCACTCTACATTAAAGATAAGACTGACTATATTTATACAACAGAGACTTTGTAATGGATTTTTCAGCTTTGTGAAATCAAGTTTTTGTCTCATCAAGACTGGTTGGATTTCCTTTTTACTCTGTATTCCAAGAGTTCGTAGATTGTTAGGGGATGGGTATCGCATGTCACACTTTTTTGTGAAATAAAAACATACCTTTCAGCTGTTTTTCTTGAACATAGGTTGGATGGCTGGATGGGTGAGTGAGAAGTGGTAAATGTCCTTGAAGCTTAAACTGAAGAGAAGGATTCTGGAACCCCAGAGTGACAGAGAAAAGAGCATACTTGGGAGCAATAGGGACCTATGCTAGAAGCCTCTCACCGCCTGCTGAAGAATCAGCCATCAATCAAAGCCTCAGTTTCCACAATAATAAAACACACCTGATGATGCCTTACCTCCCAAGATTGGGTGAGGATCGAAAAGGAGAATACATAAAACACTTGGAATGTCAGTTCCATTCCGTTCCAGTTCAGTTTTCCCTTGGGTGGCACTGAGGCCAGCCACATAACAATGTGCCTACAGAGACAGGTAAAATTAGCTTATTTGGGTATGACATGGATTATTATGGACTAGATGTGGATAAAACCCTAGAGGACATCAAGGACCCACAATTTCCCAGAGCAGCTGGATTTTCCCGCTTCCGTGCTTTCATTCACTCTAGTTGAGGGCACTTAATCCCCTAAAAAGAATTCCCTCAGCTGACTAGTTGTGACCCAAATTTGTTTTGGCTGGGTGGTACCTGGGTTGTACTGGTGGTTAAATATTTTAAATATCACCCCTGCTTATAGGATCAAATCTAAACTCTTAAGAAGGAAAGTAGGAAGCTCACATTACTTTGGCATTTCTGTGTGTCAAGCCTGGACTAAGTTCTTTCATAACACTGCTCACCTGGTTCTCAGAACAGGCCTAGAGGCAGGTACTAGCCCCACTATAATGAGGAAACTGCATCTCCAACAGATTTAGTAATATGGCATACACACTAACCCTAACTGCACATCCTTATACTCTAACCACACTGAAGTTTTTACTGTCCTTCAGTCATAAGCTCTGTCATTCTATTATGTTAATTTGTTATACTTATCAGGTAGCATGAGCATTTTAAAGGAAGATGTCTGTAATCTAACGATAAAACTAATGGAGAAAATTCCTAAGGAAGTTTGGAAAGGTCAGAATTTTAAGGCCATCCTTCCAATTATACTGATGACCTCCTTAAAGTATTAGCTCAGTGGCCCTCCTCCCCTAGGCCTGGGCCCCCTGCAGCCTCAGGAACACCCATCACTGTTTTGAAACTTAGCAAGCAATACACTTTGGCACTGCTTTCACTGACTGAAGCAGACAGCTCCCACCACAGACTTGCCCTCAGAAGATTTCAGGGAAGCCAACCCTTTGAGGACAGTCTTCTTACATGCTTTCTTCAGAGCCTGTAGCTCCCAACACTTCCTTTCCACTGCCTTTTATCTTTTTTTTTTTTTTTTTGCCCGTGCTGTGCTGCATGAGGAATCTTAGTTCCCCTCACTAGGGATTGAACCTGCACCCCCTGCACTGGGAGCACAGAGTCTTGACCACTGGACCGCCAGGGAAGTCCCCCTTTCCACTGGTTTTAAACCTAACATTCTCGGTAAGCGGAACCTAGGGGGTCCAAACCCAGACAAATGCCTTTCCTAAGCCTCCCTATGGGTCTCTACTAGTCAGCTCCAGTACTGTCATTAGCCCTGTCCTACACCTCAGAGTTGGCTTGGCAGAGCCTTGTTGGGGAGTAGGATAGCAATGCCGTATCCTCATGACAGGTGCACAAGCAAGTGGCAGAAGACCAAGGTCTTAGCACAGTTAGCTTTGGGGCATGGTGTGTGGGTCTCTAAACTCTTGGTAAAGTGGAAGGATGGGGAACAGTATGCCTATTCCCAAATCCTTCAAATAAGCTCTTCTTTACTGCTTTCTTTAGAGCCTGTAGCTCCCAACACTTCCTTTCCCCTGCCTTTTTTTTTTTTTTTTTTTTTTTTGGCCGTGCTGTGCTGCATGAGGAATCTTAGTTCCCCTCACTAGGGATTGAACCTGCACCCCCTGCACTGGGAGCACAGAGTCTTGACCACTGGACCGCCAGGGAAGTCCCCCTTTCCACTGGTTTTAAACCTAACATTCTCGGTAAGCGGAACCTAGGGGGTCCAAACCCAGACAAATGCCTTTCCTAAGCCTCCCTATGGGTCTCTACTAGTCAGCTCCAGTACTGTCATTAGCCCTGTCCTACACCTCAGAGTTGGCTTGGCAGAGCCTTGTTGGGGAGTAGGATAGCAATGCCGTATCCTCATGACAGGTGCACAAGCAAGTGGCAGAAGACCAAGGTCTTAGCACAGTTAGCTTTGGGGCAT